GGGGTGGTTTTCGGGTTTGGACCCCTCCCAAGAGCTAAAATTTTTTTTTAGATTATACGTTCAAAAGACTTAAAAGTGACTTTATATCAAATAAATACCATTAATATTTATATTTTTTGGTTTTGATGTTTGTGAAAGGATATTATATTACTATTGAAATTATTCTGGGTAGTATTATTATAAAGTCATTGAGAATAATCTACTCAATTATAATAACATATTATTGATGCATTTAAAAAATATATTTATTATATATTATCGAAGATATGGTTATGTAAGATAACCCGGCCAAAGCCCGCAAAAGATGGACCCCCTCTAAGAAAAATTTCTAGCTACGCCACTGGTTGCATTACTTAACTTTGTTTTCCCCAAAACGGCTAGTAAGGAAGGATATTCATTAAATTTATTACTATTTTTATCATTTGTTAGTTATTTATTTTTTCCAATATAATTTCCAGTCAAGTTCAAATTTTAATAAGCAAAAATAAATTTATAACATAACACTCAAAAAGTTTATATGAATCTCTGAAAAGTAGTCCTGCACTCTCATTATCTTTATCTTTAAAATTTAATATATTTATATCAAAATAAAGAATAATTTCATATAGAACAGGGATTAATCTTTTTTGGACAATTAAAACCTTTATAATTTTTCAATTTTTGTTAAATTTTTACATTTGAGGGTATAAATCATATATTGCGTTATTAAAAATATATGATATCCGATATTAAAGGTTATAGCTTCATATACTTAAATTTAGTTATATGTATTTGGTTAAACCATTATAGTTGAGTACTATTAAAGAATCCAAGTGTTGAATTTCCAGTTCATAAGATAAGTGGCCTCCCCTAAAAATTTATCATTATTAGAAGAAATAAATTGCAATATTTTTGGGTTACCAACTTTTTTATGGGCCTAAAAAATTTTAAACCCCGGCCCGTTCCTGCCCATTAAGAATAATATACTAGGGGAGCTATCGACCAGACATGTGTACTGACATAGAGGCCGCAGACAGTGTTTAGTTTCAAGGACCGAGGGCTGGTGCCCCTTATTATATAAAACCTATAACAGTGGAGCATCAGAACTCTAGAACTTTCTATCATAATCTAACTTCTCATTGATATTTGTATAAAAGATATTTTGACAGATAATATAAAGGGAAGATGGCTTAATTTTTTAACTATACACGTATTATAAGTAAACATACATTGTAGAATTCAATATATTTTATTAAATTTACTCGAGAAATAAAATATTTAATATTAAAATTATTTATAAAATGAGCCTCATACTTCAAAATTTTTAAAGAGGCGATCAATCAGTTATTTATTATGTAATCATAATGTGTTAAGATTATTGATTGCTGTTTGTTATTTATTCCCAACCATCTTAATCTCACCCTTAATCCCACCAACTTAATATTTACTTATATAATTAACTCCATAAACGGCGACATTTCGCCTTAAAACAATATTTTAAAAAAACCTTAGACTCAAAATCAGATTAAGGGAATTCCCTTTTCACAAAAAAAATCCAACTTTTAATATTCCAACATATTTACGACTCTTATCTGCACAAACATTTTATATTAATTAATTATATTATAATATTTTATGCCTACCTTTAGTTATTTAATTTTAAAATATAACTTGAAATAATTTATCTGAATGTATAAAATTTGTCGTACATTTGGTTTGCCTCGATTTCAAAAGATGGGAGTCACTATAATCTAATATGCAAAATAAAGTCAAATAATTATTAAACAGCTTCTCCTATCTAAACTAAACAGCTGCGTAAAATATTTTATATAGGGCTCGTAGATCCTTAGATGACCATAGATTAGACTTTATAAGCCCAAAATATAAATCTAACCTAAAATGGAGAAATGTCAAAGCTAATCGGTCTTAATTAGTTGGTGGTTCAGCTGATTTTATTTAAAAAAATATAATGTAAGAATTTTAATTTTATTGTTGTTGTTATTTAATATCTCGAGGATATTAAAATTTTTGTTAAATTTAAAATATTTTTATATCCCTATATTTTGTTAGTTTTAGAAAAATGAGAAAATAAAGATTATTTAAAAGATATAAACTTTCTTTTAGTACGTGGGATTTCATAATCATAAATTAATTTAAAAGTTCATTTTTAGGATCAAACAACGTTATATAAACATTTAGCATAATTATAATGTTTAAAAATATTTTTGAAAGATATTAGTGAAGTAAACATATTACATATAAATTATGTATGTTTTATAAATTTTTCTAAGTTGTAATATTTAATTATATAACATTACTATTGTTTTAATAAAACTTGTACCATTGTGTAACCAAATATGTTTTAATTCATTACATTTATTAAGATTTTTTATGTAGGTGGTAATATTAGAACAATAAATTTTGGTCCATCAAAATAAAGGAGTAAAATTAATTTATCTTACACGGAGCCCTGAGTAAATCATTTAATTTAATCAGCCCCAGCGTTATGGGCAATGATTTGGGATATCTTGTGTTATTTACGAATTCAGAAAGATAATTTATCTTTCTATGAAAATTTTAACTAATTCATTCTTTATTTCTTTTTTTTATTCTTTCTTTGCGATTCTTTCAATTTAAAAACGGCCGTCAGTAAAAGAAAATCAAAATGGATTAATTCCGAAAGCTCATAGATTCCAAATCCCAAACTATAATGTAAATTACTCTTTCTTATGTATAAACCTAATTTATAATTTTTTATAAATAAAATATTATTTTGCTAAAAAAATATTGATTATTCTCAAGTTTAAAATTTCTAATTTAAAAAAATAATCATATGATAAAGCAATTTATATAAAAATTGAAATCAAGCCGTTTTTTATAATCGAAACAAAATTTTATTGAGGCTCGGCTACCCAGACGGAACTGATATTTCAAATATTGAAATTAAACATATTTGGACTTTATTTTTGAGGAAAGAAGATAAATTTTTTGGGCATTGATATTCAATTATAAGTGGCCTCAATGAACTATAAATGATGTTTAATTAGACTGAGTAATATATTCAATAAAACGCATTTTGAAACTTAGCCCATTTCTCACATAAGAATTTATATAAATATGTGAAACTATGAAACTCTGATTATTTTAAAAAAATGTTTTAGTAAAATTAAATATAAATTATATATTTAAATATAAGACACCGACTGTTTTGCGTTGGATTGATACGCATTCAAATTAATGAATCGTCATTCTAGTTAGTTTTACTTGGACATTTGATACGTACGTTAAAAATTTGTCTTATATAAAAATTTTTTAGGGGATTTGATATGTTTTATTTACTTTAAAATTTAATATAATTAAGATATGATTCTTAATTTCAATATCTATAATTAAAACGCTATTGCTAGAGCTCTCCGCTCGGCTAAAATCCGTCCACCTTAGAAACCCTCGAGACTTATTATTCGATAACAATATAAAGCTGGCACTTTCCCTTACAGACCTCCTCCTAACTTGGTATTAAACCAGAAGTGACCCTTTCGCAACCTTCCATTAGTTAAAAATCCGTTAGAAGAAAATAAGAAAACTACTAAATATAAAAAAATACTCAAATATTATTGATTTCTAACTTTTTCCACAGAATCAATATTTATTAAGTTAATATTTGTTTGTGCTTAATTTCAAGTGATCCTAGAGAAGAACTTTACATTCACTAATCAATCAATATATGAATGCCTTGTGTTGTTAAATGTTTTTATTTGGTCGATTTAAAAATAACTAACTCAAAAGATTTTGCTAGATGTCAGATAATTTAGGACATCTATTCATGTAGCCTCGAGTCTTGGATAATAATTTTTTTTCAAAAAAAAAATCTTTTTTTGGATGTTTTTTTTTAAATAGTCTCAATTAAGCCGTTTTACAACACTATGCAGGCGCTTTACTATAACGAATAATAGCTAATTTACTGAGACTAATAATAAATGGTTCTCGGGTAGATTTTTATATAGTTTTCTTTTTGAAATCAGTCATCCATTTATCCCTAATGACATTAAAATAGGCAAATGTAAATGAAATATTATAGACAAGAATATATTCCTATCTTATATAGAGCTTGTTGGCTAAACTATAGTGTTAATTCCTCTTTAATGTGATTGGATGAATTAGAATTCTAGAGGCATTTGCTAAAACTTAAACGTAATTGTAAAAAAAATATTAGTTTTTTTTAAATCTTATCAAAATATAACTACATATAAAATCTTCCGTGCAAAAATTAGTAAAAGAGACAAAATATAAAAATGGCCTTATCTTTGGATTTGGGTAGTATAGGAGAATATATTACGAAAAATTATATTATTACTATTTCTTCGAGTTCTGATGTAATGGCTTGGTTTGGCGGGTTATATTTGTTTAAAAAGAACTTAAAGTTTTCGTCTGAGACACGATTATTATAAAAAAAATTTAATATATTAATTTATAATATTTCTTTTGTTAATTTGGTCACAACTATATCAACCTGATCAGAATTAACATTATTCTAAAAATAAGAGAGATATGTGAATTGCTAAATTAAGTTAATCTAAAGTCAAGATGCGGAAGTTGAACCATCTAGCCTCAGGTCATCATCTGATGGCAGATACACCTTCTTTAGTATTCGTGCCAAAGCAAGTGTAAATAAATTATAGTAAATTAAGTTTTTAAATTGGGAAAAAATAATTTAGTTTAAATTTTAAAAGAAAAGGGGCAATAATAATTCTCAAATAATCAGGGATTTAAACCATAACCGAACTACCGTTATTATTTACCAAATCCTACCCTGAATTAAACCGACCTTCTAAAAAGGTTCGAAATAAATTTAATGACAAAATTGCCCAAAACATTATAATATTTATTTAAATTTTGTTATAAATATAATATCATTAAAGTCATTATCTTTCATCTAATATGATCATTATTATAAGAGAATAAGAAAATTTTAAATGTATTTTAAATCTAAATTATTAATATATATATATATATATATATATATTCTTTTTCTAAATCTAATATTGAAAAATAACAAAATTTTTAAATTAATAAAAATTTATTATCTAATATGTGAGGTTTCACAAGGAATACAGTGAACATTATATTCGTAGTCACAATATTGGTTAACTTCGTCAAATTGTAAATCGGATGGGAAACTCATTATTGGACGTTCTTGCGCTCGACAATCCACGTATTTGCTGTTTAAAAAGATTTTTTAATCTATTAAAAATAATCTTAATAATAAATTTTTTTCAGAAATAATTCCCTTATCCTTTTTTATAAATAATTCAACTTGAAAAAAGAAAACTAGACAAATATTAATTTTTAAATAGAGAATATAAACTTCCTAACTTGCAATCTGGAGGATATTTTGCTAGTAATTGGCCGTTATTACATATCGTGTCAGTATCCGTACTGCAATCAGGGTTATTATCGGTCGTAGTCGGCGTATACCATTCCTCCGTGGTTGTCGATGCTGGGTTGGTAACAGTTGTGCTTTCTCCGCAATAGTAGTTTATTGCATTTCGGACGAATTGAATAAGAGTTTGGGTCTTTTCCATAGCTATATCGTTAATCATCACCCCTTGATAGTTTTTCTGACACATCCATTCAATCTTTTTTCGGTTGAGTATAAATATGAAGGAGGAGACATAAGGTATTTTTTTTATTATTTTTATTATATAGTCTTCGCCATTTATAAATAATACATAGTAATTTTCATAATATTTTGTCCCAATTTCCGATAACCTTAGCTTCCAGGCTCGTCTCATTATCGTAACTCAGCCACTGTATGCCTTTAACAGCGTAAGGTACTTTCGGTATGTCATCCCAATATCTGTCCCAAGCTGCAACATTTATCTAGTTTATAAAATATAAACGTATAAATCAACATTTGTAGATATTATATTATATCGAATATCCATTTACATAATTCCAAGGCAACCTTATATCAACACCATATCCAGGGCCTAGTGACTCTGCGCCAACACCAATATTGTTTGAATTTTTCAATTTCCAAGTAATACTATAAAATGCCAACCCAATTACAATTTTATCGTTTCCAAGACTCTTTTTATCCATTCATCAGCGCATCCTTTCTGAAATATTCATATTACATATTTTCAAAGTTTTATTTTCGGGTGTGACGACATTAGTTATAATTCTATAAAATAATTTTTTAAATATTATAATAGATTACAATTGTATCAGGTCCGCCAAATAGAGGTGTGCTATATCGAGTAAACATTTTAAACATGGGATCATGAAAATCGTGTCATCAACAATACATAATCTAGATAGCTTAATATTAATCATGTATAATAATTTCTTTATATTTAAAATATTAATATGACATTATATTTGCAAGAAACAGAGAAAATTCTCCTTAAAAAAATAATTTATATATTATTTGTATATATATACTTATTCATCGCTACTTCATCGAATCCATCAAAATCTTTAACACTAGTAGGAGCCTTTGCCGTGATTACTGCATTTGGTCCTAGTGTTTGTCGCAAAATCTAAATTTATTTAAGAATATATTAAATTAATTAAAATCCTTTTTTTGAAAAAGTGTCTTTTACCAAAATCTACTCTAAACTAGGAGGAAGAATGTCAATCTCGCCGAGGAGTCGAAAGCGGTTTTAAAAGGTTTATTAGTTCGAGAAAGAGATAGAATGATTTTATATAACGAAATATAAACTGTTCACTGTGTGAAATTCCAATGGTATTCATCCGTACGATGCAAAGGTATTGCAAGAGTGTTAGCCTAATTACTAACAAATATTAGGGGCATTATAAATTAATAAACGATAAGAATAGCTACTTAGAACATAGAAATTTATAATGCAAAAATAGTTTGATCTCGATTAGTTAAACGAAAAATAAATTTCCAGCACAAAACACAAGATAGTGGTAATGTAAAATAGATTCAATAATCGGAGATGGTTGTAAATTGCGTTCCAATATGATTAAGTTGACATTTAAAGACAACATGAAAAATTTCAAACGAATGGCGTAAATATTATCTGGATTCAATCCACAAAAATAAAAGATATATTTATAAATCATTACAGAATATTTTTATAAATGATGATTATCCTAGGGTAGCAATCAAAAATGATACCATCTAAACTATACGTATATTAATTTAGTAAAATATATTTTCTTGAAATAATAACTTTCATATAATTTATCTAAGAAAAAAAGTAGTAAAAGTTATAACTAGGAATATTAATAAACCATATGCGGTTTTTCAGTTCAACCATGTTCGCCGATGCTAGAGGTGGGCGTGAGCAGACGAGTTACATTTGGAGGCTAAGCTAGAGGCTCAGGCGAATGAATTTAAAATATTTTAAAGTAACGTTATCAGAACGGACTTATATTTTAAACACTTAGAGTCCCTAGTTAAACAATATATTTAGATAAAGGGGCTAACAAATAAATGGGTAAAATATGGTTGGGCTGGCCGATTAAAAATTTTGGGCAGAGAAGGCTATTGGTTAACTCACATATTATAATTGTGTAGTTAACATAAGATGACTCAAAATTTCTTTTAGATGGGAAATGGAGTATTATTCTATAAAAGTGCGATAGACGAAGGCAGCCAATGGCAGTGTACGAATGGGTACATTTTTTAGGTTTTGATCGCCACTGTCACATATGGATATTATATATATATAGAGAGAGAGAGAAAACCTTTTAATTTTGATAAAAATATGTTACTTAAGAATGTGTATAAGGACCGAGTAATTTTTCCTACTAAATAAGTAAATTTGAACTATGGGATATGATAAATAGTAGATTTGAAGTAATAGTGTCCATTTAAAAAAAAAATTAATTGTTTTTTAGTATTAGTTATTTGACTCTTTATCTCGACTAAACGTAATCTTAAGAAGTGGAACGAACTCATAAGAAGTTTGAAGAAAAAATGCCCATCAGTTACAGAATAAAGTTAAAATGAATAGCAAGTGTAGAAATATTTTCGTGATAATAGGAAATTAAGCTTGATGTTGATCAATAAATAGATATGGTGGGGGATGTTCTAAAAGAAATGAAAAATAGCTGAGGGAAAGAAGAATACCAAAATAAATTACCTCATGTTATTAAATATATGATTGCAAATAATTATGAATGCGAACAAAGATAATATAATATAACCAATAGAAATGGCAAAAATAGTTTTAAGAAATATAAAATTGCATCAAAAAGTGTAAGCTGTTGATCTATGTAGATAAAACAATCATAATTCCTGATTAGAAATAAAACTCGATTATCTATTTCGTATATCATTATTTTTCTTTGCATGTCCAGACTTTTCAGCTACTAAAATTTAGTTTAGTCTTAACTTTTTCTGATAAAATATTGAAAAATGTAGAATAAGTAGAGTAAAAATGCTTTTATCTTTGTATTGTGAGGTTTGTTTGTATTGTGCTTTTAGCTAAGAACATACCTTTAATACATTTTCATATCTAGCTTTTTCGCTCTCAATTGGATTTTCCCAAGCAATATCAATCCCATGTAATCCGTATTGCTGTATTAGAGTTTTGCAGTTTGACGCAAATGTTTGCAAAGCATCTGTTGTTAGTTGACTGATGAATGAAAAATAAATATTAAAATTGTTTGTTATTCTTAATGTGTTTACCTGAACATAAATCCATTATATTTACCTCCTACACTAATTAAAATTTTTAAATGAGGATACTTGGTTGTTAACTTCTCCAATTTTGGGAAATCATCTTTTAGTTTTACAAAAAAATAGATATAATCTATTTTATAAATTGAAATTGAAAATACAACTTGTAAATGTTGATAAAATAATCTATCCTTTAAACTGTGGCATGATAGACTAACGAGTAAATGAATATCCCTGATAGAAATATTAGTTGATTTTTTTAAATATAGTTTCAATAATGTAATAAATAGATGCTTAATCACCACATACAGATGAAATTATTAAAAACACAATATATATAATATTATTGGCAACTTACCCCCATAAAAGAATCTAATTGTTCCGTCCCTATATATTCCAACATGGTTATAAACTAAATGAGTATACAGGTTACCATTCACATCTGATATATCTAATATATATTGGTTCCAGGATCCTATATACCCCACGATAACTTTCGAAGATACTTAATTATTATTTTTTAATCGTAATATAGTTTAGAATATTTTATATGAATTTTTTTATTTATATCATTCTCAAATAGAATTTTAAATTTGTATTTTAATTAATATATTGAAAAAAAGGTGTTGCAGGGCTGATTTACTTTATACCTAAAATATTTTTATTAATTCAGATATAACCATGATTAGTGTTGTTAAACGTCTCATTTTGAGCCATTTTATTAGGAAAAATATTATGCAGCCTTAAGATTTTGCTCATAGGCGGCACAAAGGTTTGAACATCTATTGACAAAATTTCGAGGATTAGATAAAATTTTCTGGCTAAAATATTGAGTCTGTTTGATAACACTAACCATGATTTATAATAAATACAGGGTTTAATAATTTTAACAAATATGAAACCTTTATTTTACTATATAAGGTATATATATGTGTATGTATAAATATTATACAAAATTATTTACCGAAGTTCAGGATAAAATTTATAATAATTAATGGTAAATAAAATTTTAAAATCATTATTTAAAATATATAATTAATATTTTTAATAAAATGGGAATTATATTTTCTGAATTTAAATTATTTTTTTGAAATAAAAATTAAACGCCCTTCCAGAATGGCATGTTTTTTTTAAAATATTTAAAACAAATTTTGCACTTGCTATTTATAAAGTTCTATTCAAACTTGTGTAAATATGATTCAAAAAAAAAATTACATATTATATTATTTTTTTTAAACAAAAAAATATTAAAGAGGGAAACCCATTATGTTTTTTTTTACCTTTTATATATTCTCTGTTATTTTCATCATATATAAATAATATATATTTTTTTAAATAATCAAAACTTGGATTTTACAGGAAAACCTAAGAAATTATAGCTCTTTCCATCCCACAATAAGTTTCAAAGATTTTTCTCAAGCTCGACCTAGGCTTGTATCCATATATTTTTTTTGACTGAGGAACATGCGAAATTAAGAACATCAATAAAATTAAAACTACTTAATAATATTGAATAAAATGCTAAAAATAATATTTTAAAACTTTAAATTTTTAACAGTAATTAATTTTACCGAAAAAAATATAGGAAAGGATGAGCTATATTCGTGGAAGGGTGAGCTTTGAGTTGCACAATAGTGATTATTTTTAAATATAAAAATGATATATTGAGCCATATTGGAAAATAATTATTAAATATTAGTGAAATTTATTGACAATTTAAACAAATAAAAAAATTGGATTAAACAACAAAGTTTAGGTGGCCAAAAAGAGCATTTAAGTGAGACAAAGATCCATAATCATTTTGGATGCACTTATTAGATAATATAATTGTATAATCCAGTTTTATGAATATTTGATTTGTTTTGATGTAGAAAATATAATCCTATTGTTTCATTAATCTTGATTTAAATCTTTTTATGTTGAAAAATCTAAATTTGTTTTCTCCATTACGGCTAGCTAGGACCGATATTCATTGAATTTATTAATAATTTCAACATTTGTTAGTTGTTTCTTTTTTCTAATATAATTTCCTACCAAATTCAAATTTCAAAATAAGCAAAAATAAATATTTAACATAACGCTCATAAAGTATATATTAACCTCTGAAAAGTGTTCCCTCACTTTCACTATCTTTAAAATTTAATTTTATAATTATGTCTTAGTTAATCTTTTAAATAAGATATTTGAATAATTAAAACCTTTTTAGTTTATTAATTTTTGTCGATTTAAAATAGTTTTGACGGTTTAAATCATACATTATATTATTAAAAGTATATTCTAACCGATATTAAATCAGGTTATTGCCGCATATACATAATTTAGTTTCATGTATTTGGTTAAACTATTAGAGGAGTACTATTAAAAAAACTCCAAGGCTCGCAATCCCCAGGTTCATAGAATTACTGACCTCTTAAAATTTGTCGTTATGAGAAGAAAAAAATTGCAAAATTTTTTGGTTTGTTAACTGTTTTATTAAGCTTAAAAACAATTTTTAAGCCCAGACCCGCCCCTGTCCCTACATATAAGTAGGCAATCATGATAGAATTGTAATATTATCTATTTAATTTACATTTTCTTTTCATTTTACCTTCCACCTTTTCTGGTGGTAAGCTCCTTCACTATATATCTCCACTTTATTATTCATGCTATCTATTTTTATCTAATTTATATTTCTATTTCTGATTGATTCCATTTGTATATCCTACCGGAGTATCGTTATCGTTGTCAAAGTATCTTGATCTCCTACCGATGTATCAAATCATATCGACAGATATCCCACTGGTGTATTCCTCAAACTTAAGTATCAAATCGACAGATATCCCAATCTTGATCTCCCAGCGGGGTATCAATCCCGATGGAAATCTTACCGGAGTATCGTTATCAAGTCCATTGTAACTTGCTCGATATTAAGCTTGAACAGCCTACCGAGGTCACTATCATTCTAGCGCTGGCCAAGAAATCTTTATCACATTTATAAAATGAAACTTGTGTTTCAAGATTTCTAAAGAGGGGATTAATAAATTAGTTATTATGGGATCATAAAGTGTTATGTTTATTAATAGCAATTTGTTAACCTTTTTTTAAATACCCAACGATTTTAAGCCAACCAACTTAATATTTACTCCAATAATTATTTCCTTCAACGGTTACTTTTCGGTAAAAAATGTTTAAATTTTAAAAAAATCTTAGACCTCAAAATCAAACATTTTAAAAACGAGGCTAAGGTAATTCCCTTTTATCACACAAAAAATTTAACTTGAAATATTTCAACATAATTACGACTTTTGGAAACACAAATATTCTATATTAATAAATTATAATATAATATATATTATTTTAATATTTTGATTTTTATAGCTTTTTAAATAGTTTTATATAAATAAATTGAGTTTATATCATATCTGAAAACATTATAAATGTGGCTACTTCTAAAATCATTGATTATTTAAAATACCTGTCATTGCAAAGTATTTTGAAATATAAATAACATTTCAGAAATAAATAATCTCGATGGATAAAATTTGTCGTCAAAAGATAGATTCACTATATTCTAATAGGCAAAATAAGGTGAAAATTTTTTTAAACAGCTTCTCTTATCCTAACTAAACAGGTGCGTAAAATATTTGATAGGACTCGTTAAAAATATTTAATATCTCAAGAATATTTAAATTTTTCCTATAATGAAAATATTTTTATATCATATTAAGTTGTATTTTATAGAGGATTTAAAAGACAATATAGATTAAAGTAAGTATTTGGGATTTTCATAATCATTATTTTTTATTTAAAAATTTATTTTTAGGATCAAACATCATTATACAAACATTTGGCATATTTATAATGTTTAAATATATTTTTAAAATATATTCGTGAAATAGCATTTTAAACATAATAATACAATTAAATTATGAAATTTTTTTATAAACTTCATAAATTTTTTTTAGTTTTAATATTTAATTTTTTAAAATTACTATTGTTTTAATAAAACTATGTCTATGTACCATTGTATATCCAAATATGTTTTAATTTTTTATATTCACAAAGATTTTTTATTTAAGAATATTATAACAATAAAATTTTATTCATCAAAATAAATGAATAAAATTAATTTATCTTACACGGAGCCCTCTGTAAATGATTTAATTCAACTATTCTTTCTTTCTTTCTTTCTTTCTTTCTTTCTTTCTTTCTTTCTTTCTTTCTTTCTTTCTTTCTTTCTTTCTTTCTTTCTTTCTTTCTTTCTTTCTTTCTTTCTTTCTTTCTTTCTTTCTTTCTTTCTTTCTTTCTTTCTTTCTTTCTTTCTTTCTTTCTTTCTTTCTTTCTTTCTTTCTTTCTTTCTTTCTTTCTTTCTTTCTTTCTTTCTTTCTTTCTTTCTTTCTTTCTTTCCATTTAATCGATGTCGTTAGAGAGAGAGGTAACCCTGGAGGTGTTAAGACTTCTATATCATCCGGTATATTTATCATCTGGCTGGCTTGGATACTTTTGGAGGAAGGGTGGTGGGTATTTTTTAAAAAAATATTTGATTTCGACTGGGTTGGGCCCTAATTTTTTTTTTTTAAATCGGGCCTGGTCGGGCTTAAATTTTCAAATAAAATAGTAATAGTTCAAATTTTTGCAAGAAATATAAAGCAAATAATTTCTATTTTTATTTCATGTCTGACTTTTCGGAACTAATAATAGAAAAATTTGCTCAGGATCATTCCCGAGCCGGACGAATTTAAAAGAATTGATAGTTAGCACTAATATATAAAGTATTAATCACAATATGAATTTTCCATGCTTTAATTTATGTAAGACTCTTTATAGATTTTTCGATTAAATTATTTATACACTTGTTGGAATAATTTATTGTCAAATACGACTCTTAAATTATCCGAATTTTCATAAAGAAAATTGACAGAGTTGTTAAGAAGCGGCGCTACAGGAGCGCCGCTCCACTTTTTCAAAAACACCTGAAGTGCCTCTCCTTTCAAAAATTAGGAGCGAGAGCGGGTATTAGCTCCTTTTAGGGCTGGAGTGGAGGAGCGCCGCTCCACTAATCTTTTAAATTTAAGTATAAATTGATTTATTAATTAAAATTCAATAAAAGTGAAATTTTATTTTATTTAAATTTATGCAATATTAAATGTTGAGCCGAGTTTTATATTGGTTTTTTATCTAATCAATTAAAATAGTAAACAATGAAAATTTCTTTGAAAATCTTGTAACTCATATAAATATTCATTTTCTAGATATATGATAAAAAAAATGGTTTTTGATATTATGCACACAGAGATCATAGAAGAAATCGAAATATAAATAAATTATATATTTAAATAACTTTAATAGCAGATTTTCAAATGTTTATAATGATGAAAATATTATATTCAAATTAAATTGGGAATGGATAAAATGTGCACAAAATTTGGAACTACAAATTAATAAATATTTTAAGAATTTAGAAATCAGTTAGCCACATATCACTAATGACACTAAAATAGATAAAATGTAAATGAAAAATATTAAACAAGAATATATTCTTATCTTGTATAGAGTTTGTTGGCTTAGCTATAATATTCATTCCTTCTTATTGTAAATCTAGTATTTATTGAACAATCGGATCATTTTGAATTCTAGAGGCATTTGAAATTAAAATTCAAACATAATTGTAAAAAAAAGAAGAAGTTAAACTTGTTTTTTGCAATCTTAAATAAAACCTTAAATTTAAATATTTGGTTTAAAATATAACTACATGCAAATGATTGCGTGTAAAGATTAGTAAAATAAACTGTAAAACTGACGTTATTTTTGAATTTGGGTAATATATGAGAATTTTTTATGAAAAATCATACTAATACTATTAATAAATTAAAATATTAACAACGGTTAATTCTATAAAGACAAAAGTGTGACTTCAAGTTCCAAAAAAACAAAAATAATCTTTGAGTTCTGGTATAATGGCTTTGGTTTTGCGGGGCATATTTTTCTTAAAAGAATTCTCCACAGAGTCTTATTAGTTAATTTATAATATTTCTCTTGTTATTATGCTAACAACCATATTAACCTAATCTGAATTAACATTATTGGGAAAGGAAGAGACATATGTGAAGTCCTAAATTAAGTACCCGAAGTTGAATAATCTGGCCTCAGGTCATCATCTGATGACGTCCATGTTTAGTATTCGTGCCAACGCAGGAGAAGATAAAATATAATAAATTTTGTTTTAAAATTACCAAATTAATTAAATTTATATTTTAGAAGAAAAGAAGGAAATATCCAGAGATTTAAACACAACATAATAATATATTTATATTTTTTTAACATAAATATTAATTTTTTTAGCATGGTATAAATAATTATAAGTGTGGAGCCCTATCCTAAATATTGTTATTCATTTTTTTAACGTAGTAAGAATAGTATTAATTAGTTTAACGTAGCATAAAGATTATATTAATTCTATTTAAGAATTTTTACAGAAAAATTAGAAGGGAAATTTTCTTGCTTTTATGGAGGCTTCCACACTGCATTATTGCCTTAATAGATAATATGCAAAATAAGTTAATGGATGCTAATTTCAATAATACCAGTAATTAAAAATACTATATTAAATTATACAGCTTTATATTTTTGGCTATATTATCTGATATGGAATATTTGTAAAAAATATAACTGAATAGGCTCTCATTCTTTACAGGGAAATTATAATAATGTAATTATTTTTATATAATTATGAAATGCATTTTAATAAATTCGGTCATTTGTAATATATTTCAATGTTTATATAACTTTTTAAATAGCCATTTTATATAATAAAGATACAATATATTTTATATAAACTATTTGGATATAAATAAACTATTATAAAAAGAAATAAAATTCAAGAATATTCAATAATATTTTTCTCTCAAATTCTTGGGGCAAACAAAAATACGACTCTATTTTAAAATTAATATAATAGCATTCCTCCCCCTCTCAAATTTTAGAATTATATATGTGAGGACTAACCCTTCTAAATAACTGATCGTGAATTTAGAAACTAGCTAGTCTTAGCTGGTTTAAAAACTAGTTGGCTAATATAAAATTAGAAAGCTAATATCTAGTCAACTAAAATACAAACAATATACTATCCAACTAATATTTGTTTTGTAATTTATCTTAAAGATTTTGTTTTGGGATATATTATATGATTTGTTTTTATCTCATTTATGCAAAATATTTTCCCCATTTTTTGTACAATTTATGATTTTTAACTCAATTTTATTCCTTTTCTTATTCCTTTGTAATTTTTTCTACTCATTTGGAATATTTTAGGTAATTTTTTAACAAAAAAGATAGAAAAGTTTAATTAAAATTATTTAGAAAAATATGACGAATTATTCCAAAATGGAAAAAGAAAATACAAAATCAACGGAAAATGAAAGAAAAATTAAATTTAAAGAAATAATAAAAATGGATTTTTTGAGGGAAAAAATTAATTAGCCGCAGCGTCGACATGAGCAGGGGGGGGGTTAGGAACAGTTTGCATCCAATTTTTCATGAGGTAGGTAGGGGATAGGCGTCACTAATGGGGGTAGGATAAATTTTTTTTTGGGTTATCCATTAAATTTTGAGATGAAATAGGACAAAAAAATTTATACTAATACTATAGACCTAATTTTGATACAAAGATATTGCTGATTATCGACCAAATCTATATATTGCAAATAATCATAGTTCTCAACAACTCATTATGCTATAACAATGCTTTCATTTTAAATGAGGGGGTTTAATTGAATTCATGATCTAAAAAATAACTCCTTAATATTCACAATATTTTGGTAGTAGAGATAAAATAATTGAAGTTATTCCTTTTAAAATTTCTGAAAGGATGTTATAATTAAAAGGTTGTAAATAATAGGCGGAATTTTTTTAGGGGGGTAGGCATAGGTTTTTGAGTGGGGGGGGGGTGTTTACATTCAGTGAAAATCCTGTCATGTAGATG